GATATCCTACCTACAAAACGGGGAGAAACAATTGGAGTGGGCGAAAAAAACAACAGACGGAAGTAAAGTAAAGTAAAATGTAAAGGAAGTGATTTGAGCGAAATTGTAAAAACCAAACAGAAAAAAAGACATGGCAGCTAGATAAAATTGTGGATGTTACTTCATGAACTGGCGAATCTTGCATATTAAAGCGTCAAGAAATCAAACAACCTAGATCATAAAGCTAATAACATTGTATGTTAAACTCTATTACAATTCTATTTAACTGATCCCGGAAGAGCAAATGAATGTTGAGATTTCAATACTATCAAATCGAGTTCCAAAATCAAATAAACTCATTAGAAATGCCTTTTTACATTATGCTTTTAAATCCTAAAGTAATAGCTATAATAGTGCTTAACAATAATTTAAATAAATGACAATGAAGTACTATAAAAATAAGGGAGATATTTTCGTAACTTTTTTTTTTAAAAACAAACACTTATGTTATTTTGGAGTAAATCCTTAAACGAACTGTTTTCTTTCAGTGATATGTTTGGGCACCATTATGCAAAACTGCTGTTTTTTTCCGAAAAATGGACGATATCCAATAACTTTGCTAAGACGATTTAAAAAATCACCAGTATAAATATTGTATAAGTTTGTATAGACTTAAATTTGTCTCCATAGTCAGCGCTACCTTTCATTGTCCAGATGAAAGGGCCCATAACTGTTTAGTCTAGCTGGCAGAAAACCAACAGTAAAAAATGCTGTTGGGAGACGATCGTCAAATTAATCTGATTGTATTTTTTGAAGCGCTTAATTGCACATGTCAAAAGAATATTTAACATCTATAAATCTGATTGTTAAAACTTTAGGAGATTTATTTTTTTCCCTCAGTTCTATCAATTTTTAGCCTTATACACCACCGAAACACCTTAATTTATTATAATATTTAGCGTTTTGTACTTTCTGTAGTTTGTTAAATTTTGTTTTTGTAGTTTAAAAGACTAAAATTAAAATTTAAATATAATAATATTAAAAAAATAATAATAATGATAATAATAATACAGTGTATTTGAAAATCACCCTTCATCCCCAAAGGCTCGAAGCCCGGTTAAAAGTCAACCATCCTAAACGATAAATGAAAAAATCTAAATTATATTACATTTAAATACATTTAAATACAAAACGCAACATTGCAAATGCTACATACGGGAATATCAATTCTACGTCTTTTATCCCGTGAAAACATAAACAACACAGGCCTAAATATATCTAAGATATAATAACTAACGGGTGTTTACGAAAAGGATGTGTTTTCAATTCGGTTTTGCAAGACTCCAGTGTCTGGCTGTTTCTGAGAGCGTCAGAAAGTATGTTCCGAAATGTTGGGCCAGCAAATGCGAAAGTACGCTTTCCGTAATTTTCAAGGCAAACACGTGGTATGGAAACTTTGCAACTTTTGAATGAGTGGAGTTGTCAAACGGGGATATAAGTCATCATGAGCGTTTTCAGAGAAGACGCTGTCAGGTCATGCGAGGAGCGGTAGCACAGAGTTGCAGTTTTGTAGTCTATGCGTATGCGGACCGGCAGCCAATGCAACTCTTTTAGAAATGATTTTGAATTTAATCCAGGAGCGTAGCTGGAAGACTCACCACGAGAGCACTGCAATAGTTTATGCGTGATAGCATGAATGCAGACATCAGTCTCTTTGTTGTAACAAACGTTAAGAAAGATCTGATATGACTAATTTAGAGGCTCTAGAAAAATCGCCTTGCAAAGCATGTTCATGTTATTTTCCATAAAAAATGTTCTATCCAAGTAGACACCTTGGTTTCGCACCGTTTGAGCAAAATCAATCTGTATACATGAGAGAGTTTTAAATGGTTTGATATTTACAGATTTACCTTTTAGCGGGAGCAATGGAGATTACCTTCGTCTTTTCATCGTTCAATTTGAGCTTGTTTATGTTAATCAAGTTCTTAACTGACTCCACTGTCGTCTGTGTCATAGTGAGAAGCCCAGGGAACTGAGAGGGGGTCACGGATGGCTAATGTTGTATATCGTCCATGAACATAATATATAGCATTTCAAACTGCTTGATCACTGCACCTAAAGGCTGAACGTACATAATGAAAAGCACTGGGCCCAGGATCGAGCCCTGTGGTATTCTGAATTCGATAATAGATTGCTTCGCGGTCAAGCCGTTTGCGATAACTGATTTGATTTGATTGGTCAGATACCCATGCCATTCAGTTGCTTTTTTTGTGCGCAATGTTCTGTTGTCTTTGTTTACACAAGAACTTGTCCCTCTAACTGACACAAATTATAACCCAAAAAGGTCTTGGCAGCAAAAAAAATGTATGCTCTTCTGCATTAAAACTTACGCTTCTTCTTGAAAAAAATTGTGCTGCCTCCTCCACCTCCTGGGGTTTCGGGAACCTATGTATAAGAATCCTTGAGTTATCTATTGTAAATGAAATTCCCCATGCTGGAAAGAAATTCCTTTTCTAGTCCCATTAATACCAGAGAATAAGCGTTGCGTAAAGCGATATTTAACGACATGTATATTAGGAACAAAGATTTATTAAAGAATTATTAATGACAAATCAATCTACCCGGCTTATACAGAATTAAGAAAAATTCTCAAAAAATTGTATAGGCAAACGCGCAGGCGAAAACACCTTTTCTTGTTTCTCGAGCATCTCTCCTAAACCATACCATCTCAAAGATGCCAATTTTTCACTCGACACTTTATTCAGAGCCGAGATTACCCATTGTGACATTATTGTATTAATAGCAAGCGAAAGTGATGAAATGGAGCAACAAATGTGTATTTTCTTGTGTTTAAGAAGCCTATTATTTATGTACTACTTGCAAACAAATAATGAACAAGCGTAATCTAATGTGGTCTGAAATTGTTCTGTGTGGAACACATGAGTTGAAGCGTTTATATCCTAATAAAATACACAAAACTATATTTTGATTGCATGTTGTGTGAAGATAAATCTGATCTTTGTGATTCTCCCTTATTAACGAACACATGTTATTAAGTTTCGATAAAATTAAAAACAGAAGCCCTGGTTCGGTCAACCCACAGGTACCCGAAAACACTATTTTTAAAGTCACTAAAACATGCCATAATTTAATAATGTGCATCCCGCATAGACAACGTCATTAACTATATTTTTTTTAAAATGTTACGCTTTTACGTTTATTAAAAATAGTATGGTACATCTTTGCTCGGTTTTGAAAATAAAAAATAAAAAAAAAAAAAAAAAAAAAAAAAAAGATACCTAAAGTTTAAAGAGTTTTATGGGTACAAGTTGTGTCAAAAACTTCAATGAAACGAAAGATTTAAAATAGCTCTTGGAAATATTGAATTTTGGCCTAGCCCCTTTCAGTTAATATTCAAGGTGGGTTTAATAACCTAACCGAACTTTAAAAAACTTTTTAAATAAAAAAAATCACCAATGCCAAAGTTCTATTCATTTATAAAAGAAAATGAAAAATGATCCTCTTTCCAAAAGGATCATTTTATTTATCTTAGATTAGTTAAATAGTCAAGTAACTTTTTTTTTTCAAATTAAGTATATTTTAATAAGAAATCATTTGTAAAAATGTCTTGTTTTTTTTTTTTTTGAGTAAAAAAAAAAGTATCTTTAATATTTTAAAGCAGGGATCTTTTTTAGGAACTGGGATATTTCCTTCAAAAAATAAAGATGTGGATATTGTTATTTTGAAATCCACAAATATTTTTTAGGCTATAAAAAACGTATATATATGTAGATTGACCTAGTTGCAACATATGTGTTTATTTGCATTTATCATTGTACTTTATTAATTGACACATTGTACTAACTATGTACCGGTACAGGACGGACATATCCTACTCTGTAAGTTGATGATTTGTAATTATATTTCATTTGTATTAAAATTATTTTAATACTTAAATAAATCTTATTAATTGTAATTATTACTTTGTTGGGTGTCGCATTTTTGCTATTATATTTCTCTATGGATCTTCGTTTTGTTATGCACTGTTTGAACGAGCCAAAACATTAAAATAAGAGATTAAGTTCTCACTACAGAAGGCAGTGCGTAACAATATATATATATATATAATATATATATATAATATATATATTACTTTTCTGGCGACTCGGCACATAAAACACATTAAACAATATAAATGTTGTTCCCAGTCTACGTGTAGCTACCTCTAATGGTGTTAAAGGTATATCAGTGACGTAACCAGCTGAAACTAATAAACTACATGACATTTTCAAATAGTTTTATTTCTTATTTGGTGCATTAAAGTTTGAGTTACAATTGGAATCCAGGTATGTATGTCGCTAATTAAAATTAAGTATTATGAAAAATCTTTTTTTTATTTTGGTTTCAGCAACCAAAATTTACCCTTCCATCTTTTTAAATATTTTTTTATTGAACTGAATCGCGTGCCAGTGATCGTGCATCTATTTAAATGGATTGTGACTTGAACAGCTTGAGAATCTGTGTAATTTCCGAACTTTTTAAATTGAGGGAGTGTGTCAGCAGTATGACCTACTTGTATAAATATCATACAATTACGGGTACTTCCGATATGTTATAATCCCCTGGCCTGTCATCAAATTAAACAATTTTTTAGTTGTTGGTATTTTGTTTTATTTATGCATATTTATATACAAAAATTAATTTCTTGTTAACAATTTGTGATTAATATATATATATATATATATATATATTAAAATGGAAAAAAAAAAAAGTTAAGAAAAAAAATAATAAATTGATGTCTATATTTTTCTTCTTGTCCTTTAAAATTAAAATTTTTTAGTTGTTGGTATTTTTTTTTATTTATTAATATTTATATACAAAAATTAATTTCTTGTTAACAATTTGTGATTAATATATATATATATATATATATATTAAAATGGAAAAAAAAAAAAGTTAAGAAAAAAAATAATAAATTGATGTCTATATTTTTCTTCTTGTCCTTTAAAATTAAATGTGTAAAAGAAAATGATTAAAAAATCAGCCCATTCCTTTACTTCGCCAAGAGCATTTCCTTAAAGTTTCTAACATTAAAAAAGCAAACAAATAAATTGTTAAAACTTTAAAGAAAAAGGTAATTGTTAAAATAAAATACACTTAGGAGTAATTAAAGAAATTAAGTTAGGTCAGAACACATATATTCTTGTTACAATGGCTGATGTATGTTTCGAGAGAACAACCATTTATTTAAGGGATTGGCTAACACTTCTGTTATGGTCCACCCTTATTAGAAATTTGATTATTGTGATTGAAGGGCCATACTTTAACTAGCTTAATTTTATAGTGGATTAACATAAAATTTGTGTATATTCATAAATATACCGGTACGATCTATCAGTGACATTTCACGTAACTTAGTGGCCTAAAATATAGATATGATCAGATTGGAGAATACATATAAATTTGTTGATATGTTTTACATCTCCATTCATTTACTTGTTTAAATGACATATTGTGTATCACTGATATTTTTCCCCCTTTTTTTTTGAAATATTGCTGATGTAAGCGCTTCACTTATTCTCTCTTGAGATGCAATTTCAATTTCATGAAAAAAGAAAAAATATGTCACGTAGAGGAAATATGTAATTAAATAAGTAGAAGACCACTCTAATGCCTAAATTAGAAATGTACTCAGTGTGACAATGTTTGTTTTTATGATGAATTCAAATTCCTTTTATCCAAAAGCTGCATTAGCAAACAATTAAATGTAAAATATAAAGAGTAATTCAAAATATATATGTATACACAAAAGTAATTGTAGATTAGATTCGGTTTCTTTAACTAAGAATCGACGTTAGCTTAAAAAGGTGGCCCTTAGGAGGCTGTTGCATGACCAAATAAACATTGACAGCTGATACTACAATGGAATAATCTTAGTGACTTTGAAGGTCAAGAAGTTTTGCTTTCCCCTAAACAAAAATGAATTTTCGTCTCAAAACGTTTTCAAAATTCGTGTGTAAATTGTTTAACAATGCATAAATCATTCTGTCTCAATCGTTTACATGAGGAGGATTCTTAAAAACATTATGAGAAAGCAATTCCTAAAAAGAATTTAACATCTTTCTAGATTTAATAAGCAAAAATGATTAATGGTTTTAAGTTCTCCTTTCTTCTAAATTAAATTGAACAGGATTATTGGGGGGGGGGGGGGGGAGGTATGATCTTGAAGAAAATTAATCTTTAAATAGTGTAAGTAAATCAATAGTAACTGCAGTGGGGAAACATCTATTTTACAAACAATATAATCATTCTCATTGTCTAGGAGAAATTGGCATATTTAAAGCTATACATTTTTAAAAAAATTGAAAAGTCCGTAATTTTCAGTTAATTCTTGTCTATATAATCGACCGAAATTGAAATACAGCTCTAAGAGTATAGTTTTTAATAATTCCGGAGTATGATTTCATCTATTGCAAATTATCACTCATCTCTGGCTTTTAAAACTAAGTTATTTATGGACTTGCTAACAATATATATATATATATATATATATATATATATATATATATATATATATATATATATATATATATATATATATAACAACAATTTTTAACAGCGATCTTAATTAAAACTACTTTTAGTTTACGCAGTCATTAAGTCAACATAGCTGCTTAAGATCCTGCATATAACGGAGAGCGGTATATTGGAGCAAGAGATGTCATGCGATAGTGGAGGCAGACGTTGTTTAAACACAGTTATAAATGTTGGTAACAAAAACACCTGTACACATATTTCTCGTCATTTTATTTCTTAAATATGGAGTGTGCGGTAAGTAGAGCTATTTAGCTTTGATTTGATTTGTTAAGTAACACTCGAAAGTGTTCAGTCAAAATATTACCAATTTATTATTAGATAAATCAACTTTTCTCATACACAAAATACGCAATCAATCTAAAACGATATTTGGACATTTTAATATTTAGTAAATGATGCAGATTGAAAATAAATTCGTCATATTTAAAATTAAAACGTATAGTCCCAAAACTATTATATATATATTATATATATATTATATTATATATATATATATATATTAGATTACACTTAACATATGGCTTATATGTGATTAATCTAATTTAACTATTTCTTGATGACTTTATTTTTCAGTTAATTTAACCCTGTGTTATCCTGCCGAAGAGGGAAGACAACATACACTAATTTTTTCTTTGGATATAAATAACCTTAGATTAAAATTTACTATTGACAATGAAAAATCATTTGTAACAGAATGTTTGCTGGAAACATTATATTGCAGCAATGAACAAAGCAAAAAAGCTTTCAGTGTTTTGGAAAAAAAAGATTTGAATGATTACACACTTAACATAACTATTTGGAATGCTACTAGAGAGTCTGACTTTGGTTTTGAAGGGCTGTGGACCTTAACAAATGATGAAGACAGTAATGTGTTCATGTCATGTTCCTTGAAAATATTTGGTAAGTAAACCTTTATGAGCACAGTACCAAGTAATATTTAAATGGACGTCACTCTTTATTTGCCTGCATGATTGTGGTTTTAAATGTATAACTTTTTTGGAAATCCATCAATATATTTTAATTCCAATTAAAGTATAATGTTTAGCCTAAGGCCCAAATTAACCAATCATTTTAATCGCGAAATTAACTCATTGTATATTGAAAGTGAAACGGGATCATGACACACTAAAAATACTTTTTATTCTATAATATACTACTAACGCGGTAATACGACAAGGTATATTGCGCAACTTTTCCCTTGCAATTTCATGAAGTTTAAGCATCCGCAGCTGAAACTAAATTAGTTGACCATCTACAAATATATGATCTGTTCGTACGCTAAGTAGTTAAATATTAAGGTATTTTGAAGAAATCACTTCTGATTTGATGATGGGACATAGGATATTATTTAGAGGTAGTCTTCTAGTAATAGAAAACATATATATTTTCAAGACAAAAAAACAAAACATTTTCAACATGAAAGCGTGAACTGATGGATGACATTTTATTTAATGTTCACTATATTGAAATCCTGTTGTTTTTTTTTTTAAATATATGTAATTGGATTACCGATATGATTTTACCGATATTTATTTTTCGCATTTAAGATCTCTTTAGACTTATCATGAAAAGAAAAACAACCAATTGCAAGTGTATGTATCTCTCTTGTGTCGAAATGTAGAGCTTAATGTCGAGTGTTCATGTAACCTTGATGTTAGATGCTTACTTGTTTGGATATTGTCTCTCATTTCGTCCCATGGATTAGAGCAGCTGATACCAATCCACTAAACACTGAGTAGTGTATTGCAGGCTATAGGTTTATTATTCACTAACAAAATCACCCGCGATTCGCAACGGAGAGCCTTTTTATAAAACTAAATTGGACTACTATAACGAAGTACATTTAAATTGATATTGGGGCGACAGTGGGGGCCCATTTAATAAATTACCGTTTAGTTATAATAATAATAATAATAAGACGTCTTATATAGCGCTGTACCCCAGCCTAGGGCTGGGCTCACCGCGCTGTACATAAAAATTTATCAAAAGAGACATAATCATGACTTCAAAATAAAATACATTTATGAATTAAAGAACAGCAATGTATATTCACCCACCCCACCACATAACTTTTAAAAGGCAAACCATGGACGGCAGTCAGCAAGATCGTTTATCGGTCAGAGAAGTGGAATCAGTCAGGGTAGTATAATTTAAAAAGATGTGTTTTTAGTGCAGTTTTGAAGGCCTGGGTGGTAGGTATATTGCAAATGTTTAGTGGCAAAGAATTCCATTGTTTGGGGGCGCAGAAAGAGAAAGATCGTTCACCATATGTTTTAGTGTGGGTCCTGGGAACGGACAGAATACGCGTGTCTGCAGAGGAGCGAAGCTGTCGAAGGGGTGAATAGACAGAAAGAAGTTCGGTTAGATAGGAAGGGCAGGAATCCAAGAAAGAGTTGTGACAGAGATCAGACAACTTGTGGTCGATGCGTGCCTGTATAGGTAGCCATTGAAGGGCATGGAGTAGTGGAATGGAGTGCCTTTAAAACTAGCCTAGCAGCAGAGTTTTGAACTTTCTGCAGTTTTTCTATGCAGTGTTTTGGTGAACCTTACAGAAGAGAGTTGCAATAGTCAAGACGAGGGAGAACAAGACCACAGACTAGAGTTTTGTAGCTCTAACTGTGAGGTAGTGGCGTATGGTGCTGATCTGACGGATAGTGGTGTATGCTGAACGACAATAGTGAGATATGTGTTTATCGAGAGACATGTTCTTAGAAAGAATATAACCAAGATTCCTAGCAGAGGGTGTAAACCGTACGTCAGAGTTACCTACTTGAAATGAGGTAGAAAGAGTTGAGGTAGAGGATGATGTGTGATTGTGGATGAGGAGTGCTTCCGTTTTGTCATCATTAAGCTTCAACTTGCTGAGTGTTATCCATGACTTGACATCATCAATGCACCCCCGTAAAGTCTGGACAGCGGATTCAACAAGAGAAGGATGGGTATGCTTGTATAGCTGCGTGTCATCTGCAAATGACTGGCTCTCAACAGCATGCCTCCCAAGCAAGAGGAGCAGTGGTCTGTTATTCAATGTGTATTGAATAGGGCCTAAAACGGATCCCTGTGGTACTCCGTACACCAAATCAGCACTGCCTGAGAGACAGCCATCGACAGAGACCGCCTGCGTTCTATCAGAGAGGTAGGACCTAAACCAAGCCAAAACTGAGCCAGAAATTCCAAAGTAATTTTCAA